TATTCACAGTGCCTCTTGATCTACTGTACCCCAACTTCCCCTACCATTGTCTCATTTAAACCATTGCAATTTGGAGAAATAGTGATATATTGCATTTCTAAAGACTCTCTAATTTTTCTCCTAAAATAATCAGCTTCCACTTTAACTGTGTTCATTCTTTCTAGCCAAAATTTAACAAAAATTGAATGAAATCAGGTTTCTCAATCAAAAGTCTACTTGGAAAAGAAATTCATCTTGATGTGAACACAATACCAATAACACTTGAGCCATTGATAAAGAGACAACAACTCAAAAACTTTATTAGAATTTAGGGCAGATTTTGTTGGTTGGAAAATTTCAGAAATTAACACCCCCCCCCCCTCATTTATTAAGCACCTATGAGTACTCATTTTTAACTTTAAAAAATTCCAAATTTATAAAATAGCAAAATAGCTGCCAACAGCTGTTTAAAAAAATATATAAAACAGTAAAGCAGCTATTTTTTAAAAACAACTGTTTTTCAGAAACCCTTTGTATATATTAGTGATGTACTGATTGCACATTTGTGGCAGATGCCGATACTGATGCCGATACTGATACCGATGGATTACCTAATTATTAAAATTTTGAAAATATAATACCATGCAACTTTAAATCGTGTAAACTTATTCATGAAATCAGAACTGGTAAACAAATACTTAGACCCAAATCAGAGCCAAAGTTCTATTTTAAAATATTTTAGAAAAGCTCATTTAAGATAATATACATTTTTTAGTTTTTTTTACTATGAAAAGAAAACTTTTAAAAATAAATACAACTTTTGAGGAATGTTTTTTATTTCAATTTAAAAAAAAAAGGTATTAAGATAAGCGGTTTACTTAGAATTCTGTAACTTTATTAGTAATTTAGATACCTAAACAACAATCATATAGAAATATAGTAGGGTAATTCCATTTAAAACTGGGACAGTCATTTCAGTCACCTCTTGGATTTTCTTTAAATTTTACCCAGTGGTACATAACAATGAAACATGAAAAAATGTAAAACTTGAGCTCCCAAATCCAAATGGTTCAAAAGTTATGACATTTTAAAATTCAGCCGAAAACATTCAATTTTTTGTCAAGTCTGCCATTATGGATTTTGTAGTTGTACTATTTAATAAACAATTAAAAATTTAGTGGAACAATGTGGCTAAAAATGGGTACATGACCTTTTTTGAGGGTTGAATGCTGAATTCAAAAAGGTAGAGAAAAGTTAAAGAAAAGGTAGAGAAAAGTAGTGAAATTTAAATTTGTCTATGGTTATTTTTTGATTTTAAAATAATCAGTCAAATTTTTTGTTCTTTTACCAAGAGTTGCGCTTTCATTAACTCCCAGAGTTGCGGATTCAATTTTTTTTTTCAAATGAAGTAGATGATCCTAGCCTATCTTTATAAAAAAGATGATTTTAGTTTCTTAAAAAGATATGTCATTTTGAAATTTAGACAAAAAAAAATCTTTTTGAAGCCTCTATTCTCCATTTTAGAATTTATAACGATACTTCTTGTGTGAATAATTTCAGTTCTAGGGGAGAAATATGATTGAAAATTAATACATGACCAATTTTAAAGATATTGAATACAAAGATGAAGAGAAATTAACCTAATTTTTAATATTTGAGAATAATTTTTTAATTTTAAAATATCAGCAGTCAAATCTTCTGTTTCGTAACCATGGTTTACATTTCACTTACTTCTGGAGTTGCCTTACTCTAATTGTGAAATAAGAGGTCTTAAAAAAGTTTAGGTCTCTGAAAGAAAATAAAAAAACTATATTCCTTTGCATAACTTGCATATTTGTAATCAATATTTTTAAAAGTATACATGGAAATATAATTTACTATACAACACATTAAAAATATAATTTCTACATTAATTATAATAGTTTAACTTAACATTATTACTTAATCTCTAATAATTAGGTATTGTTTCAAAATATTGGTTGCATGCTTAAATATATGATTGCATGCTCAAATGTTGTGTTAAAAAATATGGAACTAATATGCAAACTTTTTTTGAAAAATAGTAAAAAAATCTCCTTTATTGAAAAAAGCTCAAAAAGAAAAAGGAATAACAAAATATTACTAAAATTGAAGTTTACATCATTTAAATAAAAAAAGTAAAATATTCATCAACTTTCACTGACAGAGTAAAAGCTGTTCAAATAGAATTTCATCTTCTTTTTGAGATGTAGTGCTGATGCCCAGAAGTAAAAATCATCATATTTGCAAAATAGGTATTGTGACATCATTACATTGTCAACTTTATTAATTTCATATTTTTGTTTATAAAAGTCAAATGTTAGAGCAAAATCATCATCAGATACCTTTTTCATTTTTATAATTGAATAAGAAGGTATAAATCGAAGGAAACTTCTTGTCCCAGGAATAGCGGTTGGTATTTAAAGTCTATCAGTAAGTTTGATTCTCCATTTCTTCAGCAGGGACGTACACAAACATAATCCCACTGATTAACTTTTGACAGTATTCAAACATTGCTTGAGAAAACAGTATTTGACCTGTGATTGGACTCTGCAAGCTAGCAGTTACAACGAGTCTTTTAACAGTGCCACCTATTCCATCGCATGGAGATTTACCATGGCTTGTTGCAAAGAAATTCCAGATGCTCCAAACAGAAAAATCTTGAGCATGGTGAAATAAATTGTAGAAATGTTTGCAATTTTTATACTGCCCTGCACAGCCATCAGAAAAATAATGAATTTTTGTAATTGAAGGATGAGTTTTTATATGATTAATGGTTTTATGCATATCTTCATTGATAAATCCAACATCATGATTCAAATCATCTGAAATTACACAAAAAGAAAATATTTCCAATTTCACTTTCTTGTAGTAGATGACAACTGGATGAAGAGTACATTGACTGACAATGGTAACTCTGTATCTCACCTAGTACTACAAAAGTGTAATTCTCTGCAAAATCTGCTAGTACAATAGCCTCATCAATACTAATTGTTTCTTTGAGATGTTTTAGATAGCTAGATTGTGATTTTGCTATAAATGAATGAGAAGCAATTTTATCAAGTTTTTCAGACAGGAGTTCTATGAATTCATTTAAGGGAAGTTTTATTGTTATTAGTTTGGTCCTATCTGTCGTTGTCCACTGTTTGAAATCCACAAACTGTTCATTTTTGTCACTGTCATATTGCTCTTTTGGATCATCATTTTGTGTGAGATACTGCTGGAAATAACTTTATGCGGCTTGTATGCCAGGACAACTATTGCATCAGTGAATCATGCAAGCTTTCGATTTTCTGCTGCAGACAATCTTTTCAATAATTTCATGGTAAGATGTTTCAAGGCCTACAGCATTCAATATTTATTTAACATTTTGGTGTACTGAACACACACAAACAGAATGTGTATCTTTTGGACCAGCAAGGATGCACCATTTAGGCCAAAAATTGCAAAATTTTGAAAATCTAATTTTATGGTCTGGGTATTTAATCTTATATGCCACATAGAGCTCCTTTGAGTTACACAAAATTAATTTTTTTGACATGTATTTTTTTTTCCTAACACTTACACACTCTTTTTTACCTGGCATTTGCCTTGAATACTCATCGTCACAGTAAAAATGCTTTACAAGTTCTATAACATCTTTACTGATTTGATGCTGTTCAACCACATTAGGGTATGCTAAGATGCCTTTTAGGTCACGCAAAAGCTTTGCAGTTTGAATTTTGTGTTTGGAAACTGAAAAATCTTTTGCTGCTTTTCTGATAGACCAAGATTTTGGGGTCAATATCAAAATTTGAAGTTACTGCCTTCTATTAGAGACTTTAAGCTTTTATTTCATGCATTCAACAAGGAAGTCTAAATTGCAAGCTTTGGTTTGAATTTCCTTTAGAACTTTAGATCGCACTTGGTGACATCCAAAGCAGTTGCAAGTTTCTTAATAACTGCTTCTTCAACTTGCTTTCTCTTTCTCTTTCCAAGTGAAGGCTTGTTAGAGGTTTTTGGTAAATAAACTTTTAGTGGAGATACTTCAAGTTCACAAAAAGTACTGTTAAGCAATGATCTTATTGATTTGAGTATAATTTCTTTTTCCATACTATCTTCAGTTAATTTTATCTCAAACTTGTTCCCTTCTGATTCTTTAATTGATGCTAATTTATGTCTGCATTATGGACAAAGTTTTTCGCCTGGCACTACGAATTTAACTTTACTGCATAAATACGTTGCTGTATCCAAGTTGATTTCACGAAGATTGCCTAAAAAAAGGGAAGAACTATTTTAATATGTATAAAAATTTGAATAAAACTATTTAAAGTTTAAAGTGCACTTTCAGAAGTCAGCTAAAAGTTAGGTTAAATATAGCTAAAATAATATTTCGTACCAAAGAATTTCATTATTATAACTCACAACATTTTTATAAAACTACAAGTTGTGATTACTATAAATACCTTTTATAACTTTGTTATAACTATTGAATGGATTGCAACACCGTGTTAATTTAGGTGCATAACGCTTCAAATAAACATGTTTATAATGGAGACAAGTTGTTAGTTTGACATTGATTATTGATAGCCCAATCTCTTTCATATTCAGGAATATCTTCAAAAGATTTGATTCTAAGCAACAATGTATATGTTGCAAGATAACATTCACTTTCTAGCTTGATTCCAATGGAGCACTGTTGGCTGTTTGCAATGACTAAGAAACTGAATTACCAAACAAGATTCAATAACTATTTAATCTAAAATTAAAATAATTTTAAGCTTAAACAACTGGTGTTTTAAAACTATATTAATACGACATAACTGATGTTACAAATCTATATTTATAAACATAGATTATCCTAGTCATATTTTAAAAATCCGGAAAATGGTTTGGAAAAAACATCCGGAAAAAATCCGGAATTTGTTTTTCCTTATTTTCTTTTTAATTTCGCTTTTAGTGAAATTGTTTTTAATTTTTTTTTGTTACTTTTCATAATTTTTTTTAAGTGATGAGTGAAAAAGCTTAAAAAATAAATATATTACAAAAATATATACCTCATCTTGCATGTATTGAAAATATTTTGGATATCCGGAAAAACTAAAAATTGAAAAAAATATCCGGAATTCCGGAAATATCCGGAAAAAGATAATTCCTGTATAAATCAAAACAGGCATTGCAAAACTATATTTTTACATAATAATTCTCTTCAAAAAACTTCATTTATATATCAAAACCAATCTCAATAAATTGTTTTTCACATCACAACTGAAACCATAAGAGTCAGGCAATTCGTGAAAACCTTACCTCATTATAGGGTTAAGTGATTTTTTACCATTATAAAATAAAAAAACAATTATCAAACATTTTGAATTAGGTTACTTTCTTTTCTACTTTGGATTCAGCATCTTCAAAAATGGTTAGGAGCCAAGTTTCAGTCAGTTTCTTCCACTAAAACTTAAATTATTTACAAGTGCTAAAAAATCTATGACAGAGAATTTGAGTTCAAATAAGAATTTTTTTGTCTGAATTTCAAAATAACATATCTATATAATGCTTTAAGAAACCAAAAACATCTTTTTTATAATAATAGCCTAGGATTATCTACTTAATTTGAAAAAAAAAATTGAATCCATGAAACTTAGGCAACTCCGAGAGTTAATGAAAGCACAACCCATGGTAACAGAACAAAAAATTTGACTGACCATTTTAAAATCAAATAAAAACCATCAAAAAATTTAAATTTCACTATTTTCTTTACATTTTGGAATTCAGCACCCTTGAAAATGGTCAGGTACTAATTTTTAGCCTCATTCTTCCACTAGATCTTAAATTATTCATTAAAAAGTACTACTACAAAGTCCATAATGGCAGATGTGGAAAAAAATAGGGCGTTTTGGCTAAATTTCAAAATGTTATAACTTTTGAACCATTTGGATTTGGGAGCTCAAACTTTACATTTTTTCATGTTACATTGATAGGTACCACTGGGTAAATTTTGAAAGAAATCTGCGAGGGTGACTGAAAAATTTCAATTTTTTGTCCCAGTTTTACATGGAATTACCCAGTAGGCAATACTTGAATACATATAGACAACAATGCTTAAATAGGTTACTTTTAAGAATAACAATAGAACAACACAAAATAAAATTATTCTAAAAACAACATTATAGTATTAAATTTATAAATCATCTTAAGAATAAACAAATTTGCCTGTAAACAAAGTCAATATAAACAATTTCGTAAAAAAACTTTAAGAAATGCATAAAGTTCATTTATTATTTAATTATTATCATAATGCAGGATAAAAATATTAAAATGCCATCAGTTGGAAAATCAGTAAATTAATAAAAAAAGACTGATGCCGAAACCGATTTTCATTGTGCGAAAGGTGGCAGATTAAGCAAATGCCAATCACTAATATATATGTGTACATCACTAATATATATATGTATCGTAATCCTACAGTGAAGCAGCCTAAAATAATTTTATTTTATTGCTTTTTAAAAATACAATGGAGCATTTTAAATAGATTTTCATTGCATGAAAAGGCTCCGAACGCTTTGCCTGCCTAACGCTCCTAACGCTTTGCTTTGCCTAATGCTCCTAACGCTGTGTTTTCCAGCTCTAGAGTAATTTTAATAACGAGTTAATTTAAAGTGGTAAATTTAAATTTTTAAATCAAAATTGATTGTGTGTCTATTGATTGTACAATTGTGTGCCTATTGAATTTTGAGTATCTATTAAATGCAATGTATTAAAAAAATAAATACTTATAATAAATAAACACATAACAATAAATAAATAATTAAAAATTTAATATTTTTATGAAAAAAAAATTTACTTTTTTTTTAGTAATATTTTAGAACTTTTAAAGTACAAATAAATTAAATTAAGACCATTTAACTGTAGGATTACCTATGCATAAACGTGTATTTGTGTGGGTGTGTGTATATATATATATATATATATATATATATATATATATATATATATATATATATATATATATATGTATATATATATATGTATATATATATATATATATATATATATATATATATATATATATATATATATGTATATATATATATATATATATATATATATATATATATATATATATATATATATATATATATAATTAGATAAGTGTTTTTACTAATTTGCTCTGTTCTTTAAGAACAACGAGCACTCTACACACACATACACACACACACATATATTAACTTACCATCCTCTGTAAGTTGTAAAAGTCTAGCATCTTTTTCTGCATTATCGCTTAATGCTTTTAAGTTTTCTCTTTCCATTTCTAATCGGACCAAGTAGTATTTACCATCTTTCCCACTAACAACAGGCTTTACATCTTCATTTCCTAAAGATTTTTTGATTTTCTTTTCACTCTCTAAAATGAGTGATTTGACTATTGAACCTTCCATTGTTTTTTTTAATGTGTAACCATATGAGTATTATTTTTTTGAATATTTATCTGTATTGCTATTTCTTTCAATTTATCATAAAAATCTGTAAAAAAAAAAAAAAAAAAAATAGATTGTTGATTTTTGCATTTAAGTTTTTATTAACTGAGTATACAAAATAATTAAATAGAAGGTCAGCAAGTTAATCAAACACCTTACAAAACACAATAAATGTATTCATATAAACTTTTATATTGTATTGATTTTTATTAGAAACAAAACAAAACAAATCAAAAACAAAAATAATATTTAAATATGGTTGCTTAGTAGCAATTTAAACTAAGATTTAAAAAGATTAATTTTGATTAAGTTAACTCATTCATTACTCACTCTTATTAAATTTAGAGAAAATTGTTAAAAAGTGCAAAAATTTAAATAGCACAATTTTTAATTTAAAAACAAAAATAGCACAATTTTTAATGTTTTTGAGAGAGAAAAAAACGCTTATAAATTAAAAAATCAATTTTTAAAATCAATTTAATTGTTAAGGTTATTATAAATTTTTAAAACAAAGTATAAATAAAACTTATAAATAAAAAAGTTTATATTTTAAAATTAACTAATAAGTAAAACTATTAATTTCATACTTAAAAATGAAAATCAACCAGAGACATTATAAAACATATACTTTTATAAACTTTTTTCAATTAAGTTTTAGCATATATTGTTACATTCATCTACAACATATTATATGTTGCACTACCATCTTGAATATAATTTATAAAACCTTGAATGAAATCTACTAAAACTTTATAAAAAAAACAACACAAAACTATACACATAAACTCATTCTTAATTCTTCCAGTTATCTTACTTAAGAACATAACTGATACTTTTACTGTCCTGCAAAGCAATAACTCTTTTTGCACAATATGCTAAAGTTAAATGCCAAATATTCATACATAAGCTAAAGGCTAAGGTTAGGCTATAGCTCATGTATAAATATTTTGCATTAAACAACAGTATTTAAGTATAATACAATATATAATAAACACAAATATAAAATATATTCTGTGAATATTGTGTGTATAAAATATATTCTGTGAATCTCTAATAAGTATAATACTAAAATACAAAACATCAAGTTGAAAAAGTCACATATTTACTTTTGTTTTAGATATTACAAAAAAAGCTGAAACAAACTAATTTTTTAACTAGATTTTGTGTTAGTGATTTTTGTGTTAGTGATTTTGTGACTCTTTAAATTATTCAAAACTTGATTCTTTTTTATATGTTTTAATGTTAGTTGCATTATTATTTACTATTTATGTTTTCGCATTTTATAAACAATTTTACTTTCACATAAAGTTGTGTTTACAAAAACAAAATATAATCAACTAAATTTTTTAAAATTCAGAAATCTAACTACTGCAATCAACGATATTTTAAAAATAGCTAGATATCTAACTGCCATAAATCAGTTATTAAAAAAGTGAAGCCAAAATAAACCATTATAAAGGACATATTTTTTACAAGATTTATCAAAAGAAAAAACACTTTCGATATATTTAAAAAAACTTCAGGATTAATTTAATTTAGAAGCGTGATAATAAATCAATTCACAGATATTTATCGATTTTCACGTTTATTGTTATGTTAATTTTGCAAATTCAAATATTATTAGAAAATTTTTATTTGTAAAATGATCATCATACAGATTAGATAAACAAAAACATTGTATATATCATCATAGATGAGTATTTGATTTTATGAAAATCCCGGAAATTTTTTTTCTATGATAATCCCGGAAAATCCCGGAAAATTATTTTATTAAAAATTGATCGCATTTAAATGACAAATGGAATTTAGATTATTTAACTTTTTACAAAAAGGAATTTCTAATATTCGAAAAAGTTTGAATGAATTAAAAAGCGAAAAAAAAAATTGTTATGAAAATTGATCTCGTGAAAATTTTAATTATAGAAAACATATTTGTTTAAATGCAAGTTGTCGTATGTAAAATTTTATGTAAAAATAAATTAATATCAAAAAACATCAGGAAATTTCTGGAAAAATTAAAGGTGTTTAATTTTTAAATTTTAAAATTATTTTCAGAAATAACTTATCTATGTATCATACAGTGCATGGTTTTTAACAAAAGGTACAATCTTATGTAATCTGTTAACATTTTATGTACCAGTTAGTCATTAATTACCCTTTGGAGTAATGCTGAGAGGTATCATAACATAACTGCAACATAATCAATTTTATAACCTATTAAGATTTAATAAACTACTATATAAAGCTGTCTTGAATAAATAGTTGCATAAATAGACCAAAAATGCTTCTTTTTTTTTTTTTTGCATTTCGGCTACTGAATATTAGTGATTATTGTTTTTATTCGATTAAGATTATAATGATGCAGTTGTTAATTGTCAAACTGGATATAAATCTTAAAAAAGTGAATCTAGTTCTCTTACTGCAAGTAAAGCTGTTTTTAGTTTTCATAAAGATACTATTTTAGAAGAAAATTTAATAAAGTTTATTAACAGAAAACTTTGGAAGCCACGTAAACATTCAGTAATCAACAATTGAATCAATAAGCATTGATAACAATTTGCATTATAAAAAAAAAAAGTTGCATTATAAAAGTTGTCCAGCGCCATTTCCTCAAAGGTTTAGAAATAAGTTAACTAGTACCAAAAAGTTTCCCACTATTTCAGTTCACTAATTAAAATTTTAATGTGTCTGCAGGAGATATATCTTGGGGGCTGCTTTATAGAGTACATGAAAAAAATAAAACTCTTTCAGCAAATTTGAAAAAGGATCAAAACTAGGAGAAAAGACATCCATGTAACATTAAACAAGATGCCAACCAAGCATTAAATTTATTCTAGGAAATAACTTAGCAGCAATTCAAAGTTATTTTCCTAATGAATATTCAGTATGTGAATTTTTAAAACTCATTAGTTTATAGCAGGTAGCATCTAATTCTATAATGAACTACTCTAATCATAAATTTGGTAATGCATCTGTAATGGGAGATGGTAAGCTGCAACTTTTGTGTGCATTTGCTCACTAGGTTAAACATTGGCAAATTTTGCAATACAGCTCCACTGATAGATATTGTCTCACAACTCAGACTTCTAAAACACTAATTGTAACATTGCAAGATACTTCTAGTTTAATTGAAGATCTTTTATTTTAAGGATAAATTAAAAACCTTTTATCTCAGTTGAAAATCTAAATTCAAATTAGAACTTTTTTTAATAATATTCAGGAATGTGAGTTAGATGAAAGCGGTAAAGAAGTTGCAATTTTTATTGCTGGGTATATAAATTATCTAAAAAAGTTAAGTGTGAACTATGTTCTTTGTTGCTAAAAAGAGATATTATTGATGTAAATACAGAATATATATATTCTGCATTTACATCATTCTGTACTTATACCATTCTATGTATATAGAATGGGGATTTTCTCTCATTAATAGAACAATAATTAAAAAATTTTCAAACAATAAGCAAAGATTTTAAATAACAGAAACCGTCAAGACGATGTTTTATCTTTTAAAAGCAGACAAAGAGAAAAGAATATATATATATATATATATATATATATATATATATATATATATATATATATATATATATATATATATATATATAAACATAAATATATATATTTTTTTGCACTGAAGCATTTTCGCGTTTACCCACATGCCAGCAAAAACTTTGATAAGCGCATAAAAAAGTGCTTGCCAAAAAAAGTGTTTTGTTTTAAATAAAAACTAAACTTTTTTGTTCATTTCTTGAACTTTTATAAAAAATGGCTTTTTTACCAGTTTTTTTTTGAATATTATATCTAGTATTTATTCAAAACATTCTTTTTGCTGTTTTTATTTAATTTAAATAGCAGAAAAAATTTTTTTTTTACCAAATCACACAGGCAAACTTAAAAATGATCATGCTGCTAATGCTTTGTTATGCGCTGGCATTAAAATTTAAAACGGAGAAGACTGATATATATATATATATATATATATATATATATATATATATATATATATATATATATATATATATATATATATATATATATATATATATATATATATATATATATATATATATATATATATATATATATACATATATATATATATATATATATAAACTGTTGGCTTTGAGAGTACAGAAGGTAAAAAATGATTCTTTTGACAACAAAATACGTCACTTTTAATTAATTTTGACTTTCATTCAACATTTCCGTGTTGTCATAAAGTTAAAACCATTAATTTAATCACTTTTTTAAAAAACCGCAAAAAACGCAAATTTAATTGACCAGAATGTTTTTAAAAACATTCTGAATGTTTTTAAAAATAAAAACAATGTTTTTATTTTTATTTTTTAAATAAAATGTTTTTATTTTTATTTATTTTTACTGTAAATCATGCTCGAGTGTTGCTACATCAACTATCTTATAGCCTGACTTGCAACAGAGTGCTGCTACATCGACTGACAAATAGCCTGACTTGTAACGGAGTGCTGCTACATCGACTGACAATTAGCTACATCAACTGAGGGTTTGGTTTGGGCAGGCAGTCTATCAAATAATATTAGAAAAATAAATAAAAAATTTCCGGTCTTGCATTTAACCTTTTTTTTTATGTCAAAAAAATATGGAAAAACTTTCTGACAACATTGCAAGGATCTATATATACACACATACATATATATGCAGCATTTGACATCTGCTGGTGACATCGTAAAAAAAAAGGAAGTTGAGGGGGCTTCAGTACATACATTGACTATCAATTAGCCTGACCTGCAACAGAGTGGTGCTATATCAACTTAGGTTGATATAGCACCACTCTGGGTCAGCAATCTTTTCTTTCATTATTCTTTGTTGTTTTCTTCTTTTTCTAAAAATTAAAGCGCACTTATTTACCTAAAGCTTAAAACATTAATTCCAATTGATTTATACAAAAAATTATAGTGCAAGAAAGCATTTTTAAATTTCATGTTAGTGGTGATGATTTCAATAAAGCTAAAATGCTTGTGGAGCAAAACCTAACTATAAAATAGGTTTATACTGTTAATAAAGTTA